ATTACTTTTACTTTTATATTTTAAGTAGTTTTAAAACCAGTACTTTTATACTTTTACATGAGTAAAAAGCTTGAGTTGATACTTCCGCTTCCAAAAAAAGTATTCTTAAACCCTAGTATCTATACATCTACTGTTGACACCTCATAATTGTTTAATTCAATCATCATCAGACTCCATATTTACAGCTGTGATTAGAAAAACACAAACATTTGAACCAGGATRGTTGTAAAACTCCAGTCTTAAAGGGGATCTGTAGTTTCCAGGCACATAATTCAGTTTTATATAGTCACTTATACCGCAGACTGTGACTGGCTACCATGGTCTTCCACTAACTGCCATCTTGGTACATGTAATATGCTAATTCTGTACTGTGGAGATCATTAAGAGTCGTTGTCGGGTGAAAAAAATCTTTCRCTAACACTGTGTTGACCGTGAACTGGAAGTGCTGGGAGTGGCATCCAGTGCTGGGCCGGATGTTCGTGGCATTTAGGCAATTGTTATAATTTTTTGGAAACTTGCACTGCAAATAGTGTTGCATTAAGTTTTATAGGTGGGCATTGTGCCTTATTATCGTAATTTCATCCTTRTAGCTTTAGTCTGTCTGAAAATAGTTTACAAATTAAAATATATTTGTGCTAAAGTGATTAAACCCCACCTTTGCAACCCAGGAACAGAATTATTTTTTATATAAATGTGTTTATTTATAGTTCATTAATTTTTTTCAGTCCAGAGTCAAATGGCACAGAATTACTTACAGGCACAAAAAAGACACACTTGTCAGTTATTTGTCACTTGTCCATCAAAACTCAAAAGTTGCAGACTTTACTTTGTCTGTAAAATACAAAACATTAAAAATATCTTGAATTTTAATTTTAAATAACATTTAAAGCTGATCAAACATTGTTGCATTTGTATAAATAATAAAGTTCAAAGCGTGGCTCTGAGTAGACCCTCATGAACTTCATTACCCATAATGCCTTTCTTCTTCCGCTTCCAACCATTCCAGTCCTAAGATGGCGGACCGGCGGCGCAGGAGGAAGCGCGCGTCTCAGGACAGCGAAGACGACGACGAGTCCGGCTCGGGTTCGGACAGCGGACGGTCTGGTTCTCCTGACCCAAAGAGCCGAGTCCGAGATCCCGAGCCGGCGGAGGTGGAGGTGGGCCGGACCGAACCGAAAAGCGACGTGGAGTCGGAGTGTGTGAGTAGCTGTCCAGGCTAACCCGGGGAGCTAACGWCGGCTCCCCAGTCCTCAGGTCCAAACGCGGGCTGGAAGGTCCGACTTGGACCGCTCAGAGTTAAACTTTAACGGGTCCGGGAGCTCAGGTTCGGTTCTGTGCGACTGCTGGTTAAATATCAGTTAATAATTGATCAGTGGACGGGTTTATCCTTCACTCGATGTTCGGCTCTGAGGGACCAGAAGGCGCCAGTTGGACCTCTGGCCCAGGTTCCCCTCACTCAGGTTCTCCGAATCAGAGAAGGTTCGAGAAGAAATAAAGGTCCAAACTGACGAGAGAGACTATAAAACCCAAGGTTCCTAGCTGTGCGTGGGCCCGAACCTCCAGCGGGYCCGGGTTGGACTCCACGGATGTTGTGACCCACTGGGCTCGGTTCGTCTCAGCTGTGGGAAAATAAAACCTGAGTTTATCTGTAGGAAGAGGTTTGAGTGCTGATCTGAGTCTGCAGAGTTAATCTG